TCGTCTCTGGTCGCAAACATGCACGACCTTTCCGCCTCGGCCTTTTCTCTCGATCGACATCGTTCCATTAACATCGATCCTAGACATGGGACGGGGGGTCAGTCCGAAATGAAACATAACCGTTTCAGTCGGTGCGCGTACTGCTATCGTGCCGTCCGACGTCCGGCAACTTGCCGCTCTCGCGAACATAATTCAACCGCGTGCACAATCGGTTCGGCGACACAAGCGTGTAATCTTGCTTGTATGTACCTGTCGGGCGATATCGGGTCTCTGTAACTAGCCGTGCAGCCTAGTCGCTCCTAGCTACGGATCGAGTCCCCTTTTCGATCGACGGGCACATGGAACGAGAACGGCGACGCTTTCGTTCGCGGCTTTTGATTTACATTAATTGATTCCGCAGCCCGATACCCCGCGGTATATTCTCGCGGATGAATGATAACCGCGTCGAGATCCGATCTGTGCATGCATATGTATAATTCCAGCGTCGACGATTCACGAGAATCCGATCGAGAAGAGGACCGTGCGCCGAGGGGATGGAATGAAAAAGGGAGGATGATTTACAGTGAAAAAATGCATCTAGCCCGATGGATAACCGATATCGCAACGTGCTTTAACCGAAGAACAAAAGTTCGTTTATTGGTAGTTCATGACGTATGCTAATTATGAGGATAATGAATACATTGTTCAGCGCGCAACTTAAAAGACAGGCGATATTCGATATTATCCTCTCGTTGTTCTCTGTTGCGTTTAATTAACAACGTCATTGTTCTGGTTTGGAGAACGGCGTTACCTGGGATGTAATTGCTTAGCTCCTTTCTTCCTTTCATCCTCTTTTATCTGTGTCCCCACACCCCCGCGTCGACCCTCCTGCGCGCGCTCTCTATACGTTTTCGCTTTTTTTGTTTTAATTAAATCCCTCTCGTTCGAACCGCTCTTCGGGAATTTAAATATTTCATCGAGGATTACACGAGCTAGCAGCGCGGCACCGGTGAAACGAATATCCTAAAATACAGTCCCCGGGGCTATCTATATCCGAAACCACACTTATTGGGGTGAACGTCTAGCCAAAACCGATGAGAAATTTGCCGCCGTTAATTCCCGTTTTGCCGTTTTGGGATTAACAATGGATCTGCGTTACTCACTCGGTTTCATGAGCAAAGGTTCACGACTGTTGAACGAGGAGGAACGTAGATATTTCCCATAGAGTCGTTATTATCATACGTGTAGTTCACGAGCCCCGTAACGGCTCGTTCCAGCGCAGGAAGAAAGGAAACGCAGCACGCAATTTCGCGTACAATCGAGCAAAAGCGGCGTGAAATTTTGTGGCGACCAACTCTGGGGAACACGTCATAGTATGTGCATGGTGTAACTTTGTTTCGGTCAGCCGCCACTTGGTTGTCGGGCACGGATTATAAAAGTCCCTAGTCGATTTTAGTTGACCGCGGATCCACCCGCACGTGCATGTGCACGTTGGGTCTACAGGGTGATCAAACTCGGCGATCGCGACTTGCCCGCTTTAAAAATGGACCAACTTATTTCTCCTTTCATTTTTTCTTGTCGTTTTGCATCTCAGCTGGCTCGTGACTTTGAAATGGTTCAAAGTTTTCTCGTATAAAGTAGCGGATTATGCAACTCTCTGCTTAGCGACAGTTACATGTGAAAAGTTGGACGTACGATATTCCCTTTCAGAGCATTACGAAAAAAGTGGGAGTACAATTAAAATCAATTATGTTCTGAAATAACCTAAATTGAAATTTTTAACATCATTACGGGGGGATACATTAACGAAGAAAGATTGATTACGAAAGTAACTTTTTTAAAACCTACACGTCACTAATTGAAAATCTAATAGTGAAATTAATTTATTATTCTCAATTCTCTTCTTGATTGTGCCAGTTTAATTGTTTCGTTAACCGTTTCAAACTTGATTTATTTGTAAATACCAGGGAAATACAATCTACGAAATCAATTTAAAATCAAAATTTAATTACACGAACGTGACGCGCCGGTTGTCCGCAATTGCTGTCCGCACGATTCGATATACGAAAGATTGTTGTAACGGATCGATATTGCGAAGGGTTAAAGAAGCCGCAAATGCGATTAGATTAGTTCTGGCAGTAATCGCGAAAGCAAAGCAGCCGTACCATTAATCTCGCTCAATCTTCGTCGAACGACGTTTCGTGCTATCCCTGAAATGCAATCTCGCGCACTTGGTCGATACCGTACGCTAAGAGGGATTAGGCGAGTCACAGTTTGAAGCATGGACGCGCAATTAAAGATCAACCTCTGTGCCGTTATTCGACGCGGACGGTATCGGCGCTGAGGGGCGTTATCAGTGGGCACGTTACAATTTTCCGTTACAATGCCGAAATGTGTGAACGCCGAATCGACGATGTGCATTCTGCGTGGAACTAAACAATGCGTCCAACAGGCGCCGACAACAGCGGATGACCGTAAATGTATCAGCATAAATCGTCCATTCGATGGAACTATCGAGTGGTGAAAATAAAAAAAGAGGTGGGCGAGAACGACGGTTGACGGGAGGGAACAAAGGCAGGGATGAATATTTTTTTTAGGAAATGCGAAGCGACGAGGACTAAGGCAAAAGAGGTGAGTCAGTTGGCGCGGACAGCAATAATGGTGAAACGTCTATGGTAATGGTAACTACGCCACTACGCTGCTATAGACGACCATTCAAATTTGCGCGTAAAAGCCGCGTCGAATTGCCATCGTTTTTGTTCGGCCGTTCTTTTTCTTGTTTCGACCCCATTTTTTCAGTGGAAATGATTCGCGCGTCGCGCGTGGAATCGCGACGAAATGGACGTACAACTTTGTCTCCTTTCTGCCGTTAATTCCTGATTAATTTCCCCGAGTTCAGCGTATCACCGGTCGTTCGCGCGTTTAAAATGGGTTTCCTCTGAACTTTTCGCATAGTTTCACCGCGGAACTTTCTCTCGCATTTCTCTCGTAGCTCATCAATTTTTCTAAATACCTTCACTCGTCGATATTTCCTTTTTCAAGTTCCTCAGCGACCGCGTGAACAATTTGGATGGAAAGCAGAGTCAAGAAGGATGAAACGCGTCAATGACGAGCAGAGCAGCTGGTGGTAATATGAAAAATTCAAATGTCTTCACGAATTTAACGCACGCCCAGTGAATATTTAATGCGTTATAAGTTGACGATGAAACGTGAATTATTCATACAATAGGTGAACTCCGGTTAAAGGACTTTAAACTACACGCGTACACACACCTCCTATTTCCCTGAATAACGTACATATTTATAATAACTAACGCAGCCAGAGTTGACCAGCGAGCGCGGCGTTGCTTTCATCTGTACGCTAAAAGCCTTATTCCCTTTTAGCCGCTACTAACGTCTGATACATAATTCTAATTAAATCTGCGCATACTTTAACCATACAGCGTGCACGCGATTACGGACGCATTGTTCATCGCGGTTATTCGCGAAACGTGCAATTGAAATTGTTTTGCGATATCTTTCTCGTTCCTCTTTGTTTCCGAATAATTTCGTTAACAGAACTTGTCTCAATTTTCGGCGCACGATGAAATAATTATACAATTTAATTGGATAATTTCGAACAATCATTCTACACGGACAATAATGTTAACGAACCGGGAATCGGTCAATAATTGCGTTGTATTCAAATCTTTGCACGTTTGTCCAATCTTTCTTCGGTTTCAGTTTTCATTTGTTTCCTCTTTTGTTTTATATTCAAAATCTCTCAGCAAATTCGCAAATACAATAATCAAATCAATGATTTAAATTCAACACCGCGGCCAATTAACATCGAGAAACGTACGGTGACGCGTTTCAGGGGACAAAAAACGCAGTGCTTTTTTTTCCGCGGAGGGAAGGAGACAAAAGCGAACAACAGAATTACTACGGTATAAAACTATAAAGCGTCCGAACGTTTCACGCAGCGCCGGGCCACGCTAGAATACAAATGTTTTTTAGCAAACGAAATCGGCGACACAACAGGACGCAATTTGAATAACTTTTACAGAAGCTCACTTAGTACTTTGGTCTGAGTAATCCACGAACAAATCGGTTAATCGCATCAAAATGATTGATTAAAGTAATCGAATCAAAATGATTAATAAGTAAACGACACTTATAATACCGTCAAATACATTTATCTTATCTCTTGACAGGAAATGAAATGATTAAAGAATAGAAATGGTAATAGATGAAAGATAACAAGTCTTATAATTAATGGGTTCATCGCCTGTCGTGGGTAAGCGTAAACATTGTTCAGGAGTTTGTTTGCACCACAATATGCTAGCACATGTTTGTGTATAATGCGTACCTACATAGACTGAAAGCGAAATTTCCTCGAGGGCGACGTTCTTATCTTTCAATACAGCAATCAAGTGCCATGTAAGAATTTGTTACAGCAATTGCCAATTTCGTTAAACGTTTGACTAAAATAATCGTGCAAAAATGCGGCTTATCAATAAACGTGATAACTCCAACGAGGAAAGATTAACGCTCAATCAGTTTGTAATATGTATACACTGTATACAGATTCACATGCTATGTATGTACGTGTCGTATAAAAGTTGTATTCATATCGGTTTCGTTCTCCACGCAGATGATAATCGACACGTGCTTGAGACAGCTTCGTAACACAATTAAAATGATGTGTTTCGACATTATCAGCAAAATGATACATCGAACTATTTTCAAAACAAGAAAGAGCAAGTTTTGAATCGGCATATATACGGCATTAAACACTGCCACGACCCAGAAATATGTTGGAAATATTGCGGCGTAATGACTTGATGTAATTGAACTTTGATTACGGGTCCGGTTCGCGTCATTCATTAATGCAATACGTATTTTCCAACGGACGCTGATCGGATTTCCCCGTGTACGTTGACGCGCGAATGCAGTGTTTCGCGTATCGCTTAAGAATCGAATTATGCTGTAACAACATTTGCTCCTCGGCCACGTTTGCGTGTAGAAAAAGAGGATTACAGAAAAAAAGGAAACGCGATTTCCCGTTTATTTAAGCCAGGTTTCGAATCCTGTTTTCATTCGCTCAGAGTTCCCTCCAGGGTACAAAATGTTCTGTGTGCACATTTAAACATTTTTTACAACACGAAAAATTGTCAAAAATGAAACAATTCGACTATCAATAACATCTACAATTTTACTCGTTCTTTATTATGTAAAGATTGATACAAACTGTTTGAAAATATTTGGAAGTGCTCTCCTCACAGAGAGTATTGTAATCACGATTGTGATTCCTATACATATTGATCTAACGTCCACATCATCAGATAAAAGTTTAATTGCCCCAAACATTCTGTAACCGTAACACTGTGCAGCCATTCCGATCACGAAACAGGATAAACCGAAGAAGTTATGGAAAAACTTAATTATGATCGGTCTCACCCATTGTTGCCTGTATCTGAAGGCACTGAGAAACGGTGGGACCATCAAGACAAGGGATGTCAGGCCGAGAATCGCGTGAATGGATTTAAAGTGCACACTTTTCAATAGAAACATTAACACGATTCCTACTACTGTACACATCACGCCAAGTATTTGCACGACCAGATGAAAGTTCTTTTTTATACGGTGCGGGACGGGCTGTGCCAAACCGGTGAAGATGACAATAGCCTCCGACATCAGTAGAACGTACTGAAAAGGATAAGATCGAGTCGTCAGCGGTCGCGGAAGTTGCAGTCGGTTGGTGAAGTCGTTAGAACTTCTTTGGCCACCTCGGTTAGCCACGGTCTATCTCCCCTCGGGAGAGGGTGGCTGGCTAGCTAGGTGGCTAGCTCCATCGGAGCAGTGCTCGAGCTCGGGTTCGGTTCTGTATAGTTGAATTTTGATTCCGCTGTTCCCACGCGCGCGACCGTTTGTAAGTAGAGAATAAATAGCGCAATTTGAATCGGGGTGCTATCATGCCACGGAGGGCACTCTTGGGCAAGGTTACGACGCGGAACTTGTTCCTTTCCTCCTTTTTCCTTTTCCCTTTGTTTCCTTTGCCTTGCGGCGCGACGGCCAAAGAAGCTCTCGCCTCCTTTTGAGCAATTAAACCGCGAGAATTGCTCGCCCCGAGTTCTTTCTGATTCAATTTCGCAGCTTATGCAGCAAAGGTCGAACGTTGCCAGGAAATATCTGTTCCATCTCTCTTTCCTGTTCCGCGCGTTACTTCCTCCCCGCGATCTTTTGTGTGTTAAGACAAGATGTTCAAGGATGCGAAAGATAAATGGAATTTGAGGGAAATAATATCCGCAGTTTGAAAACACTTAAAACCCTCGCTCGACAAACCTTTTTCTCCTCTATGATTTCACTCAACTGCCTCGGATTACATCGTTCCCGATAAGACGTTATTATCCGTGTTATTATATTAATACATCAAGTTATATTACTGCGAATGAAACGGTAACCCCACGAATTCTATTCTATGCGGGCGAGAATATTAAACTATCAGACATACATACCCCAACAGTGCAAAAGACAATGTGCAAATATGACATCACAGCGCGCGTATTAATATCCTTCGAGTGCAGGAAGCTCAGAGAATGGAACAAAGTGAATCCAGTCAGGCCACCTATCAGTATATGGTTGGCAAAGTCACCTATTGTGACGCAACAGCTCAACGTGCGAGACAACGCAGATGATGTTCCTTTTGTGTCACGAGTTTCCAAATTTGCACAACTATTCGAAGAACCTATGGTCTCCATCGTTATGTTGCTCATCGCAAACGACGACATTGAGGTTGTTCCTTCTGTCACCGAAATACCAGCACGTCTGCAACAATTACAAAGTTGATTACATATACGAAGTAGGTATATCATTATCTGCACGCCAGCCTCTGTATCACAAGCAGTTGCTTAGTTAAGCTAAACTGTTCTACAATATTCTCCAATTTAACAGCGTGCAGCAGTCTATTTAGTTTGATTAAATTATATCGTGTTACATTATTACCTCACACTGTCTTGCTTCGACAAAGCGATCCTATACCGATACCGACTATTACCCGTGGTAAAGATCAAAACGTGTCAAGGAGAGAAATCTTTTCGGGCCAATTTCTTTGCCGCGCGAAGAGCTAGAAATATTTTCTCGGTCTCCGTGCGAGCGCGAACTTCTTTACGACGACGACGGCTTGAAAATGTTTGCTAAACGGTCAAACAGCCAGACGGAGCCAGGGGTAGTAATTACGATAAGGGGAATTACAAAAAGGGACGGGCTTCGTATTTGTGTTAAAGTGATTACATCTGGGAGCACGGTGGTACTGACCCTTTTAGAATCAGGCCACTGATCGAAGGAAATGGAAACGAGTTCGTTGATCCCGCAGCCGTCTGTTCCGTAGGAAACGAAAATATAACTAAATGGCCATATGGCGGATAGAATAGGAATTAAGCATATAATTGATTTATTCGACGATCGATCCGGACGACTTTATTGCGTCCGGGCGTGTATATATGTGTGGCGCGAGGTAGTTGTAGCCATTCGGGGATGAAGAATTTATGCATGATCGGTACATAGGAAAAGAAACGGGGAAAGAAAGCTCCAGAACGCTGATTTTCCTTTTTCGTCCGAGTTCCCATAATTTGTTCGGGCAAATTGAAGAGCAAGTAAATAAAACGAACAAGTCTGGTCTCTCCGCCGAAAGGCGAGAGTGTACGCTACGCGACTGCGAAACGTCTATCCATCCGCGTCCTGCTTTTATTTCCGATTTATTTTGTCCACAATATAGTTCGTTAGCGCGCTTCCTTCGTCTCGACTTGTACTTCGTCGCCCCGCGTAGCCTAGAAGCAACGAACGTACTCGGTAATGTGCGAGTTGGTTCGAGTTTTAAAAAACTAAAGGTTCAGGCTCGCTTCTGATTCTCGCATGCGCGTGGCTTTAAAAATTATTTTACGATATTACATTCGGTGACACGAAACGTCGAATTTACCCGGCAAACAGGCTTCCAACAACGCGACGAGCAACGATTTTTCAAACGCCATCATTTAATCAAATCGTGCGAGAACCTCTCTCGAAATCGTGGTTGAGAGTGACGTTTGCGAAAAATGACAGCATCGCAGCTGCTACGAATACGTCGATTTCGATACGGACAGGTAAAAAACGCGCGGGATTTTATCGCGTTTTAAACGATGCGGTTTCACTTTGAAACGACTTAACTCACCAAATAGTGGTTCTTCCTTCGAAATACCCGAATTCTTCGTAAATTATATCTTCACTGTATATCGATATGTCTCTCTCGTCTCTCTCTCTCTCTCTCTCTCTCTCTCTCTCTCTCTCTCTATCACTCTGTGCGCGCTCACGATCACTTCAGAGACGCGTTTCTACCTCACGGAGCATAAACATCGATGACGATCCAAATGCGACCGCTTTCGTACTAATTGAGGAAATATCTCAATCAAGCGGAACACGGTTGGTTGCCACAATATTAATTTCTTTGTACGATTTCGTTCGCTCCTCCTTCTGCCCGGGAGTGGGAATACCCGACCAGATAATTGGAACGATGATCTGAATGATCATGTGACCCTTTGCTCATTAATTCAAGGTGACGCTACTGCGCGATGCTGATAATCAGGCGTCATGTTTTTGCGATAGTCGGGCAACGACGATTTTCCCGTCAGTTCTTCGCAACATCGACATCGTTGCAACGCGACTCCTCCAGTTTCTCGTATTTTCCTTGCTGAAAAGTTCGCCCGTCCGCGCGTCAGGTGCGACCTAGCAACCCAGCGGCTGGCATCGAAATTTTCCAATGCAAATCGGGCGCAATTTCATCGAATCAGATTATCGAACGTAGATTCGATCGAAACTGGAAATAGAATTATACGAAAAGTTTCATCTATTTGCCCTCGGGCCGTTTTAATTGAGATTAATGCTGGATCCTCTCGAAAAGCGTAAAGTTTTCTAAATACAATAATAGCAACTCGCTCGCGATATCAAAAGTAACCGTTCGCTCTCGTTCGATTTTATTCATTAAGATTTTATTTCGATTTAACTGGTCTATCGTTAGTTGTATTTATCCGGGACGGGCATACAATTGCTCGGGAAACACGCGGAAAAGCTCGGTCCGAGTATAATTCATTTAGTAATAATTACATTGATTTCGCTGGTGGAGAGAAATTATTTGGACGGCGGCGGTTCGTTTAGTAAAAATAAAAAACAATGAGTCAACCGGGATGCGAGTAGCGAGCGAATTAATTCGCGCGGATCGCGTGTCCCCGCGTTATTTGCCCCTATTCACAGAGGATTCTCTGCTATCTCAAAAACATCTATCCATTGTTTGAAAATGTAGGTACGAAGCTTCGGTTCACGCAGCGTGCTCTCGCTTCGAAGAGACATTTTCGTGTAATAATACGCGGGTCGTCCGATTCGCGAATTCCTGAAAACGATAGCGTGAAAAATGCGAGAAATTCAATTCCTCTTTTTTTTCTGACTACACTCCCCACTGGACTGGATGCCAATGGGAAAATGCTCGTTCTCGTTATCTACCTACATTATTCTATAGTTTTTTTCCCTCCAAAATAAGCAATTTTAAAAAAGCAGCCGACTGTTTCGCCGCATAATGAGTACTCTAAACGTATTGAAATATAATGCACCGTTATCTGCGGAATTATAATTTACGGTTACGTTGATACTACTTTCGTTTGTATACGTAAAATAATTTGTACTTCTGACATTTAATAAATGAGAAGAAATATGAGAAATTCTAACAATTAAAAAAATTCCTCAGAAGAGAGGACAGCCAAGTATATTTTCAAAAGTAGTAGAGACGTATACTAATTCGAATAGCACTGAGAAGATGTACATGTATATCTTAAGTTTATGCTGCTCTCAAAATATTTAATTCAACGCAAATTAAGTTTGCAAACTTTTCAGCTTGCAGCAGGTTCATTTGCATCTGATCATGTTACTCCGCTGAAAAGATGATCTGTCTTATATATTTTTAATTTAACAACTTTTACTCCAGGCTTCGCATCGTCGTGATTGTAACCTAATTAAAGTACGACTGGTGATCAATTTTTTCCCTCTCCTATCATGACGGCATACGATATAGCGAGACTTAATCCATTAATATTGTATATGCACTGAGTAATCGGTTAGTTACTATTAATACGATAGCGCTGTAAAAATCTTAAGATCATACATACATGTGTTTTCTCACGTAGTGATAATACTTTTGATTTCTGGAAGTGATTGAATACGTAACAAAGCTATCGATAAGAGAACTGGCACTGATAAAACGTTATCGATTCTTACTCTCTTTCACACACTCATTCTTCGTCCTGGGTGATTTCAAAATCTGACACGTTTCTTTATCTTTTGACTGTTCTCTTCCTTGTTCGCCTTTCCGCGCAACATTTCTCTTGGCGCGTGGCAGCTAGGAGAGATTTTAAAGAAAAGAAAATGAAGATGAAAAACGGTAAAATAAACCGAAAGGGATGTGGAAAGAAAAAGAATTGGGCGTGGAAATTAATTAGCAGAGTCGTCACGATAGAGGTTTATCAATTTTAATTACCTCTGGCTTAACGAACTCCTAATTAGAACCGAAGGCTCATAATTAACGTCTATAAAGAGCAATTTATTTTTATCGCGAAATAATCATCGCCACGGCCGTGATTGCAGATGCGATACAGAATTTACGCACGTACGTACGCGTATTTGTTTTTAAATATTTTAACACGTACTTATGCATATGGTAGTGTGTTGCGCGTTGACTTTCAAAGTTTCCCTTACATTCTCCATCTAATAATAATTCTCGGTCACATTTGCATTTTGAGTAGCCGACCGACATAAATTTATTCTTAGGTGTCCATTAAGCCTGGTGGACAGTTATCCCAAACAGTTTCCTCGGCCTTTCCGCATTCGCGCTTATATCACGTCCATTTCGTTCCGGAATGAACGTGTTCTCGCTCCGCGATACATACCTAAAGATCCTTCATAACAGTTTCCGTTGCGTTATGCATACACGTTATCGTGAATATTTGATGAATAAAAAAATGCACGGCTAGAGTCAGTTTTTTAAGTTAATTGGTTGACTCAGTTTATCAGGTTGAATACATTTTTTCGTTAATCGCGGCATACATTGATTATTGAACAGATTTCCTGGAATTTATCGCATTTATAAATATAACAAATTTTGTTCCTTATCGAAGCAAGATCATCGCGATAACGATGGACGATTATTAAAAAGAATTTCGTAGATACCTATTATTGATCAACAACATTCTGTCATATCATCCGATAGTCAACAGTACACTTGAAAAAATATGGTACTATTTGGAAGGGTGGTTTTACCGTTTGCTACTAAACCCAGGGGTTGACTCGAAGGGGTGCGTTCCCTGAATTATCGACCTTGTTCCACCCTTGTTTGGTTACGACAGAACGTCCCCGTTGAACGTGTAGATGTCAGCATCTCCTTCACGAATTCAGTAGAAAATGTATTCGAACAGACTTGATTTTTTAAAATACAGAAGGTCATTAAATTTTTAAACGTTCTCTCTCCATTTAAAAAATTGTAACACAATTCTTCCTATTTTCCTATCTGAACTTAATACTTATCTGCATACGTGCACTTAAATACATGTTATTATTTTCTCCAATAAGCGAACACACAAAGTTCTTGAAATTATTTTTTATATAATTATTAATATTATTTTCTTAATTTTTCAAACTCGATAAAAAAATACTGTCGAAGGACTGCAAGTCGTGATTTTCTCCTCGTAACTCTACGATCTCCTTTGCCATCGGTTCGTCGAAACGCGTGACAAAAGGGAATCAAGCACAGGTAGCCTCGAATATAATCGCCTTAGCCGATATTCCTGAATACCGTGCCAGAAGCAGTACTAGTCCTATAATAGATATTTGGCACACGTAATGATAATCCCATAATGCAAGGATCTGTTAGAAATGGGGCGTCACAAATGACGAATATCTTCTGCTTGGCCGACGCCGAAATCATATTTCTTATTCGGTTTCCTAGACCCTTCTTAACGCGTTCATGACGCAACAATGAACTGGAATGTATTCCGAGGTGAATAAGAATTCATACGCATCTCAAAGTGAATTGGTATTCCCATTTAATAGGACGTATGGAAAGAAGTATTGAAACATCCCGACCTTTACAGATAATAGTCAGGAGAGAATTGTGAGTAAATGAGAGAAATCATCTACCCAAGAATACAACTTGGGAAATTCAGTCATGAACAGACCACAAAAAGGACACGGAAGACGGAGGTGATACTCGAGTCTGAAATTAACTGCGATCTCAGGCGAGTGTCATAGTAAACAGGCTGTGATACAACGAAACTGTTTCGCGAGAAAGAAAATTGGCAAAGATATTTACATATTTACAAAGAGGGAGGTACAAAGAGGTGAAACTGACAGGGACTGGTAAGTCGGATGAAAGACAAGCGAGGGAGGAGGAGAGACGGAACAGTTTCAATTTGCATGATGGCCGTGTGGCTTTGCCAGGATAACTGTAATGACTCTCTACCTCCCTTCCTCTCTCTCTCTCTCTCTCGACGTTACGAGAGAAGAGCAAATTTTATCGCAGTCATCCCGGAATCGCAGTTAGACGGAAAGACAGCCGGGGACTGGAGGTCCTGGAAGGCTTTTGCCAAAGGGGCAAAAGCTCAACCTTTCATATCCATGTTTGCACTGGGCGAAAGCAGCCAGCAAAAGTACCTACCAAGGCCCGGAATCCGCAAGGACGGAAGTAAGTATACATTCGGCCTTTACTACTCTGTATCAACCTACAGACCTGACGACCTGCCTGCCCACCACCAACCTTTTCAAGGCATAATTAAATGGCGGCGCGGGTTGCGCGACCTTTTCGCGAATGTGCTCGCTTCTGTCTGGGTGTAAACGTGTAATGGAAACCATGCCGGTACACCGGTGTGGCTGGGAAAAGTGCGCTTAATTCCATTTGAATCGCACTAACGTACAGACGGTGCGGGGAAAGGAAGGAGGACAGGGAGGGAAGGAGAGAGGACGGTGTCGAGCCGTGTGGTTTCCCGTTCACTGGAGAATCGACGGACATGTAAGATCTCGTTCAGTCCTTTTCACCCGTTCCCACAAAGTTTCCGGACAACGTAGTGTCAAACTCGTTGAGGCAGAACGTTGAGGCAGAGCTCGAGATTAAACTGGAGATGATGCCTCTGTCACACCTGTTTGCCGCGAGGTTCTCACGGAATTTTAATTCTTACGTGACAAACGTTACTCTTCTTTATGATCTTGTGAGCTATGTTATTTCTATATTAGTTTAATCATACCTGTAAATGCTCTGTTCGGCATACAATTTAAACAAGGACGTCAATTAATTTCTATTAGCGCCACGTAATTTCTTTGGACTCTAAGGCTCAGTAAACACTTTATGAATCTCATTATTTGCGAAGTAATTTTTCTTTCGAGAATATCGAAG